AATCGATCTTGTCCAGCTGCGAATCTTTTATGATGTAACTGCAACTGGCATCCTTACCCACAGTGTATTCATCCTTCTTCATCTCTGCAGCAAGGAAGCAAGTAGCTTTAGACTTTATTTGTGCACCTGATGAAGTTTGACTTTCCAAAATTAGGATCAAAATTGTTATGTTAAACCATTGAGTAAAGCCAGACATAAAGTGAATAAATCAACATGGAATTTTTGAGGAGCTGAATGAACACCTGCCCCCTTGCAGTATGTCTGATTCCTTTGTGGTGTCTGCTTTTTGATGCCTGTAGTCTTGTAAATGGTTACCAACATTTTGGAGTAACATTGATAACCTAACCTATAATGTCACGTGTCATCACATTTCAAGATACCATGATCGCTACCATCTCAGAGAGGGCTGGTCCTTGGTGGAGTAGCCTGCAGTGCTGCTGCTAATGATGAGTGTGTAGCTTCTGTGAAATAATGACTGACAGCAGAAAACCAAAGCACTCAGAGAAAAGCTGCTCCATCACCACTTATTCCCCTTAACTTTATGAAGATTCTGTACAAAAGCTCAGTGTAAGTGTTACAAGGTGCATGCATCTGCTTTTTTTTTCTAACATTTAACTTTGTCTTCACTCACACTTGGCCGTTGTGCAGCAGCTTGTCATATACCAGTATGATCATTATAAAATAAAATTGGATCAGTGGATAGGCAACACATGTCAGTTGATACATTTCTGTCACACAGTTAACTATGCCTTTCATATATAACACCACTCTCCAAATGTTTGATTCAGGAGTGTGTTACTAATACTTATGAATAGAACACTGCAGAATGTAATGCAAGACTGAAGAGTATTGCATTCAACCACAAGTCCAGCATTGAACTCTCAGTGGTATATTTTTTACTAGTATACTTTACATTTGCGAATTCTTTCTCGTGCTTTTTTCACTGCACCAGGGACAGGGATTTATTAGCTACAGTATATTTATATCATGATGTTTATATTTTTGCCTGGTAAAGTTGGTAAAATTTCATCAGCACAGACCAGAATTTGCTGAGTCCCATTCCAATCCCCTCTGTCACACAGCTTTCTAAAGGAAAGCTGATAAGTAGTGATGATAAAAACATTACTTCAGATGATACTGATTAGGAAATTCATCAGGTGAATATCTGTCTACCTAACTACCTGTATGGACTATAGGTGTCATTTTAACACATTCTTATTGCCAAAGTAATTTAATTGGAAAACCATTAGGTGCAGACGTCATCTATAAATAGCTTATGTTTTGTCCCATTGTAAACCCATTTTTTCTCAGAGAGTAATGGTATTTAGTTGCCCTATTACATCAAAATTGACACTGATGTCCTCAATAATTTCATCTACATGTGAACTTAAACTTCAGGGAAAAATGTTGAATAAAATTGTTGTTTAAAAATTGACATTCCTAAGTAAAAATGATCTCAAAGAGACCAGTTTTAGAAACCTGCATTAAATGGTTCTGGCAATGCTCTTATATCATACTGAAATGACCAACAGGCGGGACTGTTTAAAGTAGATACAAAGAGCAACAGCTTCCCAGGAGGAGTTTCCTTTGTTAACGTCAGTCAATCCATGAGTCTTTTGAAAGTGGATGTATGCATAAACAGTGCATCACCCTATATGACTGCTTCTTCATTAGGAACTCGGCCTAAAAATGAACATTTGCTCTGTAGCATTAAGTATTTGGAAACGTTGTATAAAGTGAAGCTTTTGCGGCGACAAGTTGGTGAAAGACTCTTGGGCAACAAGCCACGTCAGGTGGCTGAACGGTGAATGAACGATTTCTTCTGGAAGAAATGGTCCCTTCACCATTCAGTCACGTGAGACGGCTTGTTGCCCGAGAGTCTTTCATTTATTTTCAAATGCAGTGCAGGAAGGATATAAGTACAGTCACTGGTCCAGGAAAATTTGAAATTTGTGAATGCAGTACTTTACCTAGAAAAGGGAGTGTGTCCTTCAATGGATACAGCAGACCCCACACAGGTTTCCTGAGCATCGTGATGAGCAGCCTGCAACTGATGTGAGCACAACCACTGGAACCTCTTATCTTATCTAGGATAAGCTTTAGCAGCAAAGGTCAACAAGAGGGATGTGTACTGAAAATTGTTTACTTATCTAAGTTCCATATCAAAATACTTGGTGTATTTTGGAAGGGAGAAAATTTATACCAAAGCTGGTAACACTGTCTGTACATGAATCATATAAACATGAAGAGACAACCTCAACGTTAACGAGTTTAGCCCTTTTTTGTTGAACCCTGTCACTGAACCCAGACATAGAGGTCACCAAATGGTCAAGTGTTTAATCAAATAGATCATGTATTAATAGATAAGATAAGAGCTTCGGGAATACAAGATGTGAGGTCATTTAGAGGGGCTGACGGAGATACAGATCACTACCTCGTTAGAGCAAGATACCTGTGTAAGATAACCAGGACACCTAGACAGAATTTGGAAAAAATTCCTAAAATTCCTAAAATAAAGGTGGTGGCTTTGGAAGAACAAGAAATTAAATTTAACTACCAACAATCCATTGTAAGAGAATTTGAAGACCGGAAAGATAAAATGGAGGAAGGAGTCGAGACTTGTTGGGAAGAGTTGAAAGCAGTGATTAAGAGAGCAACGGAAGAAAATATCGGATATGAGGAAAGGATACCAAGGAATGAATGGTATGATGATGAATGTGCAGCAAGTCTCGAGGAAAGGAATGTAGCGCGTAAAATATATCTGGGGCGCCCAACAAGAATTAAATACAAAGAGTATCAGGAGAAACGTAGAATAGCGAATCATATATGTAGAATGAAAAAAGAGCAAATGCCCGAAGAATGGAAAATCGGACTAATATGTCCAATATATAAAAAAGGGGACAGGTTGAATTGCCAGATCTATAGAAGTACGAGGTGCAATCGAAAGGTTTCCAGACTGCGCGTATAAAAACCCGTACACTTATCTCAGGTAATAAATTCATCCATCACCCTCGAAGTAGTTCCCCTGGGAGTGAACACAACGATCCCAGCGCCGCTGCCAAGCCTGGAAGCATCCCTGGAAATCTTTCTTTGTCAGCCTGTCAAGCACCATCTGCGATTCTGCCTGAATCTCTTCTATCGTCTCAAATCTCCTTCCCTTTAGCTGAACTTTCATCTTTGGGAAGAGGAAGAAGTCACACGGAGCTTAGAAAGGAAGGTGGGGTCGGTTCTTGCAAGATCTTTAAACTCCTGACAAACGAGAAGTCGATTCTGCTTCTAGTCCTCTGACAGGATGCGTCGCATGTGGAGTTCTTCCTTTAGAATCAGCTAACAGGTCCCATAGCCTATCCCAACAATGTCGCACAAATCGTTGATGGTACGACGTCGATCTTCGTGAAGGGCCTGCCGAATCTTCGTAACATTTTCGGGCGTTGTGCCCGAAGATGGTCGTCCAGAACGCTCGTCATCATCGACAGAGGTTCGGCCATTTTTAAAACGTGAATGCCACACAAAAGTTTGTGCACGACCCATTGCGGACTCCCCAAATGCTTGCTTTAGCATTTCATAGGTTTCCGTAGCCGTTTTGGCGAGTCTTTGGCAAAATTTGATGCACACGCCATTCCGAAAGCGCAGGAGGGTCGGTGTAATGCACTACCAAAACGCCCATAACTA